CATCTGAACTTGATCGTCTTCTATCACAAATAGCTCAAAATTGTTTAGATTCTTTTCCTATATCTTCATCGAATTCTTCTATTTCATTATTTTCAATAACTTCTCAACATCAACCAAATCATTCAATTATTTATGATTCTTCTTTATCAAATAAATCAACAGTACCATCAAGAAAATCTATTGAATGTCTTTATATAACACCAACAATAAATAAACAATCAGCATCAAATATATTAATGCCTAGTCAAAATCCAACTAGTTCAATAATTTCATCTCCACATAATACATATAAATATCAACAATCAAAACATAGAAATTTTCAAACAAAAATATTTCGAAGTGAAAATGATTTAATGTTAGCTATACAACGTAATGAACAAGAAAAACCAAATTTTAATAATAATGATGATACATCAATATTATGTAAAAATGATCAACAAACAAATGTTCGAACTTTAGCAAAAGAATATGAACAAAAAACAAATTTACCATCGGATTATTCTCATGTTAAAAATCGAACAACAGATGTACATTATTCTACGACACGAACAATAATTAATAATCAACAAGAACAAAATATTGATAATGATGAAGAATTAACATGGCCAAAAGAACCAGTATCAACTACTCCTTCAAAACAAACAAGTGGACTAAGAAAATTTGTAAGTAGTAGTTTAAAACTTTTCATTATACAACCACAACAACAACAGCAGCACGAACGATCAGGAAAATAATTTATCTGTGCATTTTATTTTGATTTCCAATTGTTTATTTAACTTTTTTTTGTTTTTGTTTTTATTTTTATTTTCATGTTTTAATGATGAATCTTCATTCATTGATTTGCTTCTTCTGGATAGATTGATTTACATTTTATGTTTAACGTTTATTTTACTTTTATTCATTACCGGTTCTATAGTTCTTTTCAAGCATGTCATACATCCACTTCTATGGAAAATTATAGTTATTTTAAGAATTAATAAATTGATCAAAATGTCTTTTTTTTGCATTCTTTAATCAGTAATTATTTAACAAACTGTATACAAAGTATTCTAAAAGTCTGCCGAAAAAAAAAAGAAAACAAATGTAAATATCACTTGAATAGTTCAAAAAATATCCGTAAACTTCCTATAACATTGACGTTCACTATTCAAAATGAACACACTGAATTGCAACCCATGAAATTCATTGTTGGCAAATATTTGAAAAAAAATATATTGCTGTATAGAATTTTCTGTGAAATTACATTAGTTTCGTTATCGATTCTTATTATTATGTCAATGTAATCTTTAGTAGATATCATCTTTCATGCATCTCCATAGAAAAACTTCGAGTAGAACTATTTCTTTGAAGATCTCATCATAGGAAAAATAATGCTCAAAAATTTATTTATAGCAGTGGAAAAAAGTTTAAAAACAACGTAGTTTTGATTTTTTTTCTCTATAATGTTAAGCAATTAACTCATATCCAGATAGTGATTTTAATAGTCAATGGAGTTTTCCTTTGCCAAGATTTTATAAATAAACTATGATGACAAGATTGCTACAAAAACTGGACACAGTAGTTTTCAGGTTCCAGAAGCTATTTTTACCAATGCCATTTTAAAGAGAACTAAATGAGAGGTCACTGCATTGTCCATGACCTTTTCGTCGAAGGCTATGAGCCTCACAAAAATCATAAAAAAGTGAAATTTATCTAAAAGACGCCTTTTTTCGGTTTTTGTAATACTTTTAACTTTTTACGGGAAGGTCATGAAAAATAAAACAGCTCAAGGGGGAAAAAGCAGTGCCTGATGGATCTCAGGATCCATACGATCTATTGGAATCTATTATAATGTATCAAAGTCTATTAATACTTATGAGCATAAACTTTGTTCCAAACTAGGGATGGCATTTTACTTTACTAGTAAATAAGTAACGATCATAACTACTATCAATTTACAAAGTTAGCGATCGTCGTTAGGAGCTACATGAGTTACTGTTGGGGCCCCGAGAGCTATCATATGGAGATACCCTTACATCCTTAAGAGCTCCTGTATGAAGACACTTTTCGATTCTCATCTGTTATTATATGAAGGTACCCTTAGATCCTCATGTGGTAGTTTACGGACATACTCCTGAGTTCTCATCTACTATTATATAGAGGTACCTTTGGGTCCTCAAGAGTTAGTATATTGTGGTACCATTGGATCCTCATTTGCTATTATATAGAGATATCCTTACATCCTCAAGAGCTACTATATGGAGGTACTCTTGGCTCCTCAAGAGCTATTATATGGGGGCATCATTGGATCCTGAAAAGCCATCTGTTGCTGGTACACTTCGGTCCTCATCTGCTATTGTATAGAGGTACCCTTGGGTCTTCTTCTGCTGGTAGATGAGAGCACATTTAGGTGCTCATATCCTATTGTATGCAGGTGTCCTTGGGCCCTGAAAAGCTGCTATGTGGAATACCTCACAGAGATGGGTACGGTTCGATTCTTAGCTAAATTAATGCGATTTAGATCAATATTTCGATAAATCGAGCAAGAAAAGTTAATAAAAAAGATATTATTAGAAACAATTAAAGTATTCATATATTTTCTTATATTTGTTTGTCTAAGAAAAACAAAACATAAACGGGCTAAATATATTCTTGAAGCAGGAAAGTATTCAATAACCATTAGTTAAAGTGAAGCTAATATGATATAGATACTTCTTATTTATTTATCACCAATAAAGTATAAATAATTTATAACTGAAAAAATACGAATTTTTACACAGATAATTATGTATATTTAATAGCTTTCTTCGGTTCCTTGTAGTGTGAGATGCCGAATACTCTGTTATAGTCAAGTTGATAAAATATTTCAGACAAAGCGAAACAAACTGATTTTTGTTACTAAAAATCCTTACAAATCACTGGAAATCATAAGACATCATAAGCGCATTAAAGATATAAATAATGATAGGATGTGGTGAGAAATAATTACAAACCGTTAGAAGCCATTAGAAACTTATAGAAATCATTAGAAATCACTGGAAACCATTGCAACTGACTTAAAATCACCTGTAATATGGTTAAAAAAAAATAAAGCTTTGATCTCCATTGATTTTTAATGGTTTCTATCGATTTTACATTTTTTCGATAACTTTCAAGGTTTCAAAAGTTTCTCTTGTCTTTTAATGGTTCTCACGGTTTATCTTAGTTCCTAAGTACCTCCAATGATACAGTCAATGTTCCTAATAACAACACTAAAACAATTTTCTTCCTTGCTCGACTTGATTCTCGGCTATTTTACAGTCGAATCAAAATATTTTTATGTTTGCATAATCTGCAGAGTCTCCGCTTTCAAATGATGAATTAATGGCCTTTCTCTGAAATGTAATCTAGGAGAAAGCATCAGTCTACGATTATGATCTGCTTTTGTTGTTATTAGGGGCACTTTCCCTAATTACAATAGTCAGCTAAATTTTGTCCCTAATAACAACACTTAAGCGAAATGTAAGCAAAATCAGACTTTTTGAGGAAAAAAGCTTTTTTTCACGTGTTTTCTTTGGAAAGCAAGCAAAGGTTCCACTGACAACTTTGTTGAGCATGTCAAACTCTATCTACATTTAAAGGTTCATGAGAAAAAAAAATTCCTTTAATGAGATACAAAATCTAAAAGTAAGACGTCTAACAGTGTCCAAAAAATAGGTGACCCTAATAACAACACTTCTACCGAAATTGGTGTATGAGTGTGCATAAAACAAAAACTAATTTCCATTTTAATAGCCTGATGGGTTTTGATCGTTTTTCACAACTTTATTTCATTTTTCATGTTAAGTGAATGTTTTGTACCTGCGGTTTCCCTTAGGTATTCGAAATTTTTTTTTGTCTTCGTTTGAGTTGTCACATTTATAAATCGATAGAACTCAGTGTTTTGATTACGAATATGATATTATTTTTCAAAATTCATCGAGTAATAAGAAAAATCTAGAGTATTTAAGATAGGCATAAAAATCAGTTTT